CAGCAAAATTGAGGGATGATTACTGAGATTTCCCGTGTACCCTCTGACCCTACACAGGCACAACCTCCCTCATTATCAACATCTCACACCCCCAGTTCTTGTGGTTCAGTAAAGTCCACTGACACATCATCATTACCCAAAGTCCTTAATTTACCTTATAATTCATTCTTGGTGCTGTACCTCCTTGGGTTTAGATGAGTGTATCATGGTACATACTTGCCTTATACAATTACAAATTATTTTCAGTGCCCTAAAACTCCTCTAGGCTCTGTTTCTTCATCCATCCCACTTGCTCTTACCCCAAAGGATTTTCATTGAAAAAGAGAAACTCTAACAGAATTTTGAATTTCAAACTCAGGGTAAAATTCTGATGTTATTATATGTTATTTATAATTAGCATGGCCATCATTTGTACCTTTGCAATATTTTTATTATATTGCTGACAACATACAGCACTTATGACTTCTCATAGATTATCTTTTCTGTCATTTTTAATTAGCATATGTACTTCAGTAAAATCACTAGAAGATGAAATCAGTGGTGATACGATATCCTGCATTACCAATGAATTGATGGGCTTCCAAATTCCATACTCATTGATTAATTTATTACATGATAAGGGCATGACTTAATTGAAATGTTTGTCTGTAATACGGAAACATAAAAGTTTGTGAAATACGTAATATGAACACCACTTGCTTCATGAGCTAATAACTCAGTTTCCTTATAATGATCCTGATCTCCAGTTCTCCTAATAGGCCAGGACATGTATTTATCTGTGGGACAGTGGGGTGAGGGCATCATTTACCACTGTTCTTGGTGATAGTGGTATCCCCACAATTGCCCACTGAAGAATTCTGTGTCTTTTTCTTATCACTATTAAAAAGAGGCAAAAAAAATAAAATAAAATAAAATACCATGCAAACAAGAAATGTACTAAACATATCCTATGGGATTAGATTCTCTACTGGAATGCTTACATTGATAAAAATATTATGATTTTCTAAAGTATAAACATTTCTATGTCTATGTGATGCCATTTTGTACACTTTAAAGAGCAACAGAACTTTATTTAGAGAGGGCTGTAAGTTTAGGATAGTCAAAGTTACTCAGAGTTCCTTCAGTGTTAATAGTCATTGTAAACCTTCCTGTGGTTTTCTTATTTCCCTACGCTGCCTAGTGAGGAAACTGAGAAAGTGAAGCTCTGGAGACACTGCCTTCTACCTTCATCTACTCCACATCATGCTTCCTGTGAGGCTCCTTACTTCTCAGGCTTTGTCATATACACTCACAGTATATATGGCCTATGAAGAGTAACATCTATTTCTTAAATCATTCAAAATATGAGGATAGACTGCACTTCCATAGCATTTAAACTAGCTTTCAAATGTAATTCAAAAGAAGATATAATTCAAGTTTTCATTAAGGGTTCAGTTATAATGTCCATTGAGTAAAGCATTCACAAGAGGTAACAATTAATTCCAGCATGATTATGCTGAAGCATCTCTAAATGTTATTTCTAAATAAAATTATTATATTTTATGGGATTAAAAACACTAAACAGAAGAACTTTCATTTCTAAATGTTCCAATGTCTTTGTTCTTTCCCTTTATATAAACTAAGCATGTAAATCCATTATTTAATATATCAATGCAAATGCAGAGCATTTAAAGTAGATTTATGCTATGCAGACTTATTTCAAGCAATGCCTCATCACCATGTGCTTCCAGCTGAAAAATGACTAAAAAATAAACAACATCCTGAAAGATACAGAAAAAAAATTAAGTTAATGATTCCCCCAAAGGAAAGGAAAATTACTAATGGAATGGTTTAAATAAGCTTCCATATTATGTATTCTGAGTGGAAACCCCATGCTATCAGCATAATTTTATCATATTAATAAGCAACAGGTGGTTAAAGGAGAAAAAGATAGCACTTATCTTCTCTACACCCTCCAGAAGTCATCTTTACAACAAATTAATTATCTTACTAAAGTAGTAATGCTTAAAAAAAAGCCTGATACAGATTTTCAAGTAAATCATTATAATTTTATGTATTGCATGTAAGTTAAACAGATATTTTCTAAAAAATATCTCAGAAAACCCTTTATGTAACATAATTTTAATGGATTGCTCACTCCCATCATATAGTAACAGTTAAAAATACAATAGCAATAAAATACTATACTGTTTCCATAAAAGTTGGCTGCATGAATCTTACAACAGTTAACAATAGTTCATTCTTCCAAACAACTTAGTCTCAGTAGATTAAAGTAAACACATTTGCAAACTGTTCAAGTATAGACTGGATGCCTATAACTCAATACAGTCATTTGAATAGAGTTAAATTCTGAGATAGTCAAGATTTAATATGTGCTTTAGAGAAGAAAACCTAAATTCATTTTTTTAACTTTATATTGAAGTAATATTGCATTACAACATTATGTAAGTTTCAGGTATGCATCACTGAAAATCAACATGTGGATGTACTACATTAAATTCCCCTCTAAAAGCCAGATGGTGAAAAACACAAACTGTACCTCACTTCTATGTGGTATAAAGAGTAAGCAAACAGATGAACTAAACAAAACAAAAATAAACTTTTGAACTATTAAGACAAACAGAAGGGAGGGGGAAATGGAGTAGGTAAACTGACAAAAATGGTCAAGTAGCAAGGGATAGAATTAAACAGAAGAAAATTTAAATTTTCTTAAAATTTTAAAGCATCCACTATGTAATGAAGTGTCATAACTTTAGACATTTGCTCAAATACTGGCAGAATGTTCACTTCTTCTTTTTCCTAAATGAGGCCATGATAAACAGAAATTCTCCACGTTTAGACATTTCATTTGCTTACTGCCTAATTGATTATAATCAAGATTAACATGAACATGAACGTTGGAAACAAATGTGTAAGGTGTGTGCTTTTACAACGGGCGTTCATTTACCACTGTAAACGTTTACTGTTTCTTCAAAAAACATGTAACAAAAAGCCCTTCTTTAAAGGTTGCCATTACCATTTTTCCATCCCAAGTTTCCGTGCTTACCATTAATTAGCTACATTAAATTTTGAAGTAAAAATGAGCATATGTTCAGGAATTCCTCTGTTAGTGTTAGGTGGTGACTTGTCAGTTACTTCATGGGAAGGGTGTCAGGAGGAGGTAAAGGAACCAGGATGTAAAAAAGGAACCTAAGCCCCTACCATTTATTTTTCCAAATCACGACCCAGTGTGAGCTGATGAGAGAAGTTAAACTCATCCCCACGTAGTGCTCTGCAGATGGACTCCTCAAAAAATTCTCTCAGATGTTACAGTAAGGGGTGGCACTGTCGAACCATGCCCGCTGCCTTTCGGGCCTTCCGGCATTTAAAGGGTGGGCTGCGGGCGGGCGTGGGGGGTGCTGAGGAGTGGTATTCTACCGTCAGCGCGACCTCTACACCCGAACCAGCAAGTTGCACGTGAACCGCACTCCGCACGCGGGCAGCCTTTGCTGGGCTCCACTCAGATCAGGTGGGGGAAGCCATCAGCAGGTCAAGGCCACGGCGCTCCGAGGCACACAGATGGGCAGTCTCTATACCGCGCTCCAGTTTTAATGACCCTTTAGGAAAACTCCCGAGAGGAGTCTGCAGTTTAACCCTTTCCTCGCTACCACCTGCACGCGTCCCTTTCACCCCTCCCCCGCAGACTGCATTTCATTTCGAAATAAATCCTAGCCGAATGCATTGTGAGCACACTCGGTACTAAAGTTAATGCAGAAGCACAGAACCTGGTCGGCCAGGTTCTGTCATGAGGAGCAGTTAACTTCTGCCTTCTGGAGCCGCCAAACAACGGCCCCCCACCCCTCCCTTGGAGAGCGGGCATTTATAAATCTTACATCTCCCCATCTCCTCCCTCAAATTCCTTAATGGACCATTAGTCACGGGATCGATCCTAGTTACTTTGATAGCAATACATCGCACAGGCACAGCTGCCGCGTTTACTAGAGCCAGAAACACCACTCAAAAGTTGAGGAGCTAGAGCCCGCACTTTGCAAACCTTTGGGGGCCGGGGGAGGGAAAAAGGTGGGGTGGGAGAGTGGGCCGCTGCAGGCAGCCACGGTGGGAACCTGGCGAGACCTGAACTGCGAGCCTCTAGCCAGCCAGCCCTCGCACCAGCAGCGAGGGAGGCGTCGGAACTGCCAACTTCTCCCGGCGCCGCGCGCCGCCGCGTC